TGATGATTAATGAATGATCTGGTTGACTGGCTGCCAGTGGCTAGCATGGAGGCTAACACAAAACCCTTCAGCTGGCAGTCACACACAGAGGGTCGGATGCATCAGATCATCTTCTTGTTTAGGATAACTGTGAAACAGAAGTCACCATGAAGGCTGGACACTTCTCACCTTCAGGTGATGCCTGCGGCTGGAGGTCATTTTCTTTCCTCTGTGACAGGAAGAGCAGAAACAGCGCTTAGTCGTCATGTTTGGGTCTGGGAGCTACAGGTCATGGTATTCTCAAAGCTAGCTACAGCAGGGAACCGCTAGTTTAGCATTTTCTGAAGATAAAAAAAATACAAGAACATAACTAAGTTTATTCCCTAATTTAAGCAGAAGTTTGAAATTTGCTGACTGTACGATTATCTGTTGTAATGCACGGCACATGAAAGCCTACGAGGGCATCGCAGGGATGAAAGTGTTTCCGTGTGATCTGTCTCGTTGCAGATGGCCTCCTCGTTCTCCAGGATCCCGGCCCAAGTGTGTGTTGCTGCTATAATAAAACAGCCACAGTCGACTAAACTTCTTACCAGTCCATGCAAAGATGATTTTCAACAGCTTGAGAATAATTCCTGCCAGATTAGATGCAACCCCCGCTGCTGCTGCTGCGGTTTGTGCGTAGCCCTGTGATGTAAAACCAACGGCGGCGGACTGATCTGTGAAATAATATTACATGAACATCTGTGTAATGTTTTAAAGATGGCAGCAACACACTGGAAGCATCTCCCTGAACTGAGAGAAGCTGTTTATCATGTATAACTTTCACCCAGAGACACTGGATAGCTGTAGCATCCAGTTCAGATCACAACCTAAGGGTTTCTTTGCTGCCTGATTTTAACTCCACGCCTGTGACACATTCAGCAGCTGTCATGAAAGGTCAAAGGTTGAACTTCAGAGTGAGCTGCTGCGTTCTCATCGGGTTGGATTTCTCAGACACATTTGCCTTCTGGATATCGTCATTCTGAATAAAACATCTCCCAACTATTTTACTAATTGCTGACTGAAGGATGAATGCTTGCAGCACACATGCCTTCCTCTCTATGAGCCGCCATCGCTGATGTCAGGGGCTCTGGTTCTGCAGGAACGACACGTGGAACGTCCTACAGTTACCACAGAGGGTCGTCTGCAGGTTATCACTCATGTTGGTATTATTAAGTTTGAAGACATCGGTTTTCTTCAGTAGGAGAGAAACCTTTACTTTGAGGAATGTTTGGATAAGTTCAACATTTTCGTCCTCTCTCACCCTTTTCACCACTGCTGGGTTTGCTGAAGCCCAGCCTTGTGAGTGATCTGGGTCCGGAACCAAAGCTGAAGTTATTCCAGTTGTTTCTGTTAGTCTATCGGCTCTATAAGTGTTGATCACAACCTTTTAAGTGGTGAGTTTATTTCCCATTAAAAAGGTTGAAAAAAAGAGAACAAGGGGTACTCACTCAGACATGTTGGCTGGTTTTGATCTTCACTGTTCAGAAAAGGGGGGAAAACACATGTTTCAGCATTTAAACGTGTGATAATTACACTGATTCTGATCACACCTTAACTAGAAACACCTGTTTTTAAACCTGACTAAATGCTCTTTGACCTCCAGCTGGAAAGAAGACACAGTGAGTGGTCATGAACTGTCTAACTGGGATTGGGTAGGATCACATATCTCGGAATGGTTGGCTGGAATTAAAATGGAACATTACGGAAAGCAAAAAGGCCAGACCACCAAACGTCTCCGGTGTAAGACCCACATGTTGTGTCAAACATCCAAAGAGCTGTTAACACCAATGGTTGGGTGTGTGTGTGTGTGTGTGTCTGGGTGCAGCGTTAGATGTGACAACCAGCAATAAAGACAGATTTTACATAAATCCCAAACAAGCAGAACAGAAAAATATAAAAATCTTCACTTTTGAATCCCAGTCAGACTGAATGTGTTTATCCTGCTCTGGAGTTAGAAGCACCACCCTCAGCATCCATCAAACAGTCCACACGTCTCAAACGCTGTTAAAACGCCAAAAAATAAGAGCGGAGCAGCATCCTAAAATCAGCATTAAGAACCTTTTCCACAGCAAACTGAAGTCCCACCTGTGAAGCAGACCTTAGAGAAACTCTTGGTATTGATCTCTGGCAAAAGGAGTAGAGTGAGCTGCAGGAGAGACTCTCATCTACTGAACGAGACAAAGACAAGGAGGCGCACAAGAAGGAGGGAGATACTGCCAAGTCGCAAATAGTAGGCATAGAACATGGTATATCGGGTGTTAAGTTGCAGGCTGAACGCCACATATGCTGCGTATATGCTGCTGAGCTTCCTGCTGCCAGGTCAGCAGAAAACTCAGCTCTCCATATGGTAGCAGAGCTAATTCAGACCAATGGGCCGGCAGCATCCAGAAATACCATTGCAACACTCATAAATCTCAGCTGCAGAATATTACCTCCTCGTCAAAGCTCCTTCTTTGGAGACAAGTGGCGGATGGAGCAAAACATCAAAATAAATCTGTGATCAAACAAATTCACTCAGCGTTGACCGCTCCAGCCCTCAGGCCATCCCAGACCACTGGGAGCCGGTAAATGACGGCTCGGATCAGTTTCAGTTCACAGAGAACTCAAAAGCACACCAGCAGATGTTTTCATCTAATATAATACCGATGATTTGTACTCTACGTTTACTTTATCTTTGGCAGAGTGAGTTAGCCGAGAATTAGAGAATAAATGAACTCATTATTAAACTGTCACGCTTGGGGTTCAAACACCACGCCCACTGTCCTTCCAGCCCCATCGGGCGTGTCGGCTCAGCCCATCAAACACAGTAGCAGAGGTTAAATCTGAGTTTATTAGTCGAGTTCCTGATGCACCAAGGCCGTGAGCATCATTATCTGGCTTAACTGGCTTAACCTTAACTGGCTGCTGCATTACCAAAGTGTCCATTTAGTCTCAAGCAGACCAACACAGCAGACTACAGGAGCACTTTTACCTGTGTGGTGTTTCCAGATTTTACCGCCTCACTCCTGGTTCATCATTCTGAGTTAGTTTACTTTCCAGGTCTGACATTCCTCACGTCTCCTGTTCACTTCTACAAGACCAGTTCTTCACCAATTCTGCACTAGCTCAGACTGTAAGCAACACATCGGGATGTTTATTATTAGGTAAGAAGTGTAAACAAGTTATTTAGGATGGAAAAGATTCAGAATCAGGCAAGCAGCAACAATAATGCTCTTTTTTTCTCTTTGGACAAAAATACAAATGTGCTGATCGTTGGACATTACCTTCTGATCTGAAAATAAAATCAGAGCTAACATGAAAAATGCTCTGTGTGCTGCAGAATCACAGCTTTGCTGTTTATTTTAAAGACCAAGTTCAATAATTTTTAACACATTTGCAATTGTCTGTATGAATGCCTTGTGCATCGATCTCCTTGGAAAAAAAAGCTTGAGGACTGCTGTTCTCAGTTGGGGGAGAGGGGAGCAGAACACGGAGGGTTTGGGGGTCTTGTTTCCTGGTATTTGGACATCTCGCCTCTGATTGGCTAACAGTAACACAACTCTACCCTCTACCTGCTTTGCAGAAATGATATTTGATCTCCACGAACAACACAAGCCTAAAGGAGTTCTGTCATGCTAATGTTAACGGTTAGCTTCTACTAGCTAAGAAATGCAGTGATCTGTCGTGGTCGCTGAAGGCACTTACACACTAGCATTGCCTCTACTCCGCCTGGACCTGGTTTGGAGTGTTCTCATTTAGGTAGCCTTGGATTTTCCTGCCTGCAACCGGATATCTTTTCAGCCCTCTTCCCGAGGCGCTCTGGGGCCAAACAGGGCTGGCACACCCACTGTCGGCTGATTGGCCGGCTCAAAACCACATGTTCGCACACCACAGATCGGCGGATAGAATCAGCCTGCAGGGGTTATAGTTAAAGAGCCTCTGACATAAGCTGTTTCTCTCTGTCTCTCACTGCTGTGAGGCTCAAAAGTCACAATTTATTTCACAGAGACCCGTGACGGAAATCCCGGAGGGACTGAATAAAGTTGTCCCCCACAATCAATTAAAATCTAAACCGCTAAACAATGTGTTTTTAATCATTCACAGATCATTATCCCCCTCTCCTATTCCTCAACTTGGTACAGTCCTCACAAGCTTTTCCAATCGGGCATCTTCTTAACTAGCACCCTCCCTGCACCCGACCCCCCTCTATACTGTCCACTCCTTGTTCCTTCCTCTCCATGATCGATGTCAAGTTGTTGTTGTTGTTAGCCTCAAGGGCAACATGCTGATTTTCACTTGTAAGTCGCTTTGGACAAAAGTGTCTGCTAAATACATAAACAACATGAACAACAAACCAACCATAGCTAACAGCTGTGGATTTAAAAAACATCTTAGAAATCAGCCCCATAGCTACAATTAGTTGACTTACATGTGTAACAGAATGAAATGACTGTTTTCCACCCAAAAGTCATTTCCCCCTCTCCTCTGACACAGAACTAATCTGCATGAGATATTGTTCAAGGTCATGCATTTGGTTCTAAACTGTTTTCTTTCCAGCTCAAGAGAAGAATGAGGACAAAGGACTCTTTCTTTTTAATAAATGAAAGAACTCTATTTTTAATAAGCTAATCAAACAAAGTGTTAGTCAATAATAAGATGTGACCAATCTGTGAAATCAAAATATTAATTACTTGATATTATAATCCTACAGAATATAATAAGTAATATGACTTTAAATGTTTCCACTAGAGATTGATCACACTAGTGTTAAGACATGACACATTGCTTTTACTGATCCAATCAGAATCTGCCAGATCTGACGGAGGCGTGGTTTTGGTGGTGTTTGGTAAATCTGTCATCTTTTCATTCGACCGTAAACCAAAACATCCAAAGTATAAAACTATGCACACGTCATCTTTAATGCCAGTTCAAAGTGTTCTAGAGAAGTTGACGAAGTGGCCAATCTGTAACTTTCCTCTTCAACCGAAAGAACCAACGACAAGCTGGATAAAATCTGTTGCCCTTCCACCTGCTGCAACGGTTCCTTTCAGAATAAAGGCTGAACCATCACGACCCAGGTTTGGGTCTCACTAGATGCCAACAAAACTGTCGTGATCCGGAAGTATCTCAAAGACTGGTCTGGTCGGCAACCGTTGCTTTTCCTACCGGCTTCGGTTCCAGAGAGGGTCAAGCTGGACCTCGACATTCCTGATCTAATGGAGACTTCCACTAAGGGTACGTAGGCCGACAACATGGCGTCTTAATGTGTTTATGAATCTCCAAATCAAAGCTTAGCGAGAAGACATCACCTTCACTCCCGTCAGAACTAATCGTTTCTTTGAATTTGCTGGATCTGAACAACATTCCACACTACACCATTCTCCGTCTCACTTCACCTTAGTTACATCATATGTTTAGTTTTTAAAGTTAGTCTAGTTTTAATTTGTTTGGTAATAAATCTTTAAACTTTTACAACTTGACTCTCTCTTCTGTTGTCTCTGAGTTAATACGAAGTGGTTATCTAATCCCTGCAATAAAAAGTTCCATTCTTGTGGTTAAAGGTACCCAAAGGTCCATCAGATTGATTCCATATTTCGTATGGAATCTCATATCTCATAGTTCATTAAATGACATGTAAATTTAACCCTTTACACATTGAAACTGGAAATTTTCCCCTGAAGTAGCAGCTGGGTCCTGATCTGCCATCTTTTAGAAAATACAGCGATGTATGCTGGGAAATTTTTTACCAAGGCCAGGCTACAAGGCACCTTCCGTGTATCCTTGTTCAGCTAGCTAAACTGCTAACAAACGGAGAACAGACGCCTCAATAGAATATGAAGATTGGAACACGCCTTGGCAGTCCTTGATGACGTGTGTCCTAGGCAACCGGGGCGGGACCAAGACATCAAGGCAAGGTTTCTTGACATTGAGAAATACCCCGTGTCTCACAGAGAAGTTAGTTTTACTTTGGCAAATACAGGAAGCACGTACGTCGGTTCATGTTGTACCACTGTGGCTGCACAGTGCGCACCACTTAGCTTCTGCTAAGAGGTTGATGATGCTTTTATTGACAAGAGACACTCATGGAAATATACGTTGTGATAAATTGCAGTTATAACCGATGCAACCTGAAGCTATCAGTGCAGTCGCATCGCTACTGCTATGAACAAACCACTGATTCAGATGGGTGCATCCCTCCATCCCTAGTTCACACTGCAGGCCTTGATGCTCAGTTGTAATTTTTAGAGTAAATCTGACATTTTTTTGTGTGGCTGTTCACATTATGACTGAAATGGGACATCAAACTGTCTCCAGCATGAACGCCTAAAACTTTTTAGGGCAATACTTTGGTTTTCTGATGAGCATGAAAACACACTGACTGTGAAGTAGATCTGACTGTTTTTTAATATTAGCTTTTCTTTGTCTATTTGATATTAACAGCTAATGCTGGAAATAGGGGCAGAAGACACATTTAGCCTGCATGTGAAAGTGACCGATCATAATTCAACAATAACAAGTAAACAAATGAACTTGGAACAGATCAGAAACCTGAAAGGCATGTTGTCCGCTGATGTGTTTACACAAATTTAAAATCGGGTTTTACTTCATGGGTATGCAGAAATGTCAAGCATTCATGAGAACGTACCTTTTTCTCCAAGGGGACGGTGTTGACTGGACTCCCAGCAACTGAGACACAGAACAAGTTTCATTAATCAGCAGGAAACAGAAACAAGAACCTGAATGTGTACAAGAATTAAATAAACTGCTCTTACCTCTACTAAATTGCTTGAGAAAGCCTTGGAATAAATGCTGCAAAGTCACAAGTTTAGTTTATGTCCCTTATTCTCCTTCAGGATCAGACAGAAGTTATTATCAGCTGTTTAAGAGATAAATGCAGGTCTATTGGATTTATTTGTGCAATTTTAAATACTTAATTTACAAAACGTCCAGCATGAATTTGACTTTGCTTTTTTGTTGCAGAACTCTTGTTTGTTGGTTCTTGATCTGATTGTTTCTGCATGCTGGAAATCCTGAGCGTGGTTAGCTTTGCTCCACATTTTAAAGTTATCATCCTAACATTAGTGAGTGAAAATGTCATTTATTTGCTGCTTTAATCACAAAACTGACACAACTCAAGTTTAGATTCCCATTTTACTTAAAGCGTTTGCTTGTATGCACTCACTTAGAAGTGAGGCTGGCGTTGGTTTTAGTGGTAAAGACAGCAGATATTTTTGACATGGAAGGAATGTGGATATTATGTCTTTTTCCTCACTGACGTGCAAAGTACCGCAAAAAGAATTTCAATCAAATGCTCCCTGCAACAACACGCAACAGTAGCTCTGATTTTTAGACCATGTAGCTAAACTCTCTCTTACAGTGGCGGCTCCAGAAATGTTTTTCTGCAGGTGCTATGAAGGAGCTAGTCTTTTTATTGAGGGTGCTATGAAGGAAGTGGTCATGCGCACCTACTGTTCTCTAAAACACCTTCAACACTAGCAGATACACATGCGTGCACAACACCTCAACAACACCTGAAACAATCATTAATATACATCATAAACATATGAACAATCGCTGACTTCTCCATGAAATCATAAACACATACAGCCACACAGAAAACCATCTATAGTGTTGCAAGGTTAGCTAACGTTAGTGTTAGCATTCCCAGCGGCAAAACCCTCGACTGCTGCGGCGGTTGAGGGTTGACTCTCTTCATCCAGATCCGTAGGTTTTTGTGGGTCTGAGATCACTTCCAAGGATTCATTCATTTCTGACTGAACCCGTGGAAATGTGGGCAACAAAACCCGATCCATCTTACCACTAGATCTGCCTTTCACTCGTTCACAGGTGGAGAATGAGGTCAAAGGTTAACATCAATTTTCTGTTTTGGTTTCAGTTTTTACTATCCATATGATAATTTACTGATTATTTTTGTTTTGTTTGTTAAATATTATCACATCCACACGTTAAATTAAAATTAAATTGTAAAAAAGAAAAGCCAATATTTACTTGGGGGTGCAATGACTAATCCAGGGGTAGCTATAGCCCCCCCCCCACCCCACCCCCCCACCCCCCGCCACCGCCACTGCTCTCTTGGTGCACATTTAACCTTCAAAAATTCAAACAAGATCATTTTGCCCCATTTGAAACAATGAGTATTTTCCATACTGCTCAAAGCCTAGCTTGACTTGCAGTGTTGTGCATCTCTGAGGCAAAGACGAAATATCTCCTGACAGCATGCTTAGGAAACAGGACATGTTTATTAGAAAACATTAGGAACAGGAAGAGAGTCACAGTGGGGTGCAGAGCCGAACGCATCTGGCTCCAGGGAGCATCAGATGCTGTATCGTTTATTCGTTTGAGCTGATTCCTTCATCAAACCACAGTCTGAGAAACATCAGCCAGTTCAGTATTGCACCCAACAACTCTCCAGCACTTGGACTGAGGAGGTTGGGGTTTGATCTAAAGGCTTTTTGTTGGTCAACGACCACTCCTCCTCAGCTACAGCCTCCTAAGTCAGTATACCAAAGTACAACAACAGAGCAAGCTGAAACACACAGATTTAATGAAACAAACGATATTTCAATTAACTGTAAAATGCCAGAAATTCCCTTCCCAAAAAGCCCCGAGCAAAGACAGAACAAGAGTCAGGGTCTTTAGGCGCTCTCGAACATCTTCTTCCTGTCTGCTTTGTCTTCAATGTTCTTACGCCAGTCACCGACTGCCTCTGCAGGCTGCAGCACACAAACAGTCCACCTTCAGCAAAACATCTCTCCTGCAAACGAACGAGCTCACCCCTCCCTGGCAAAACACTCACCTCCTCTTTGACCTCCTTCTTCACCTGCTTCAGGTTCGCCCTCAAGTCCATGTTGACCGTGTGTTTGGAGCCCAGCAGAGCTTTGAGCATGGCGTCGGCTGACATACGCACCTTTTTCAGAGCTGGCTTCTTCACTCCAGCCAGGTCTACCACTTTGATCTTCAGGTCTTCAATCTGAGAGTGACCAAGAGGAAGCCACAAGCATTTGAGCAGCCAACATAAAGATGAAAGATGTCAAAAGACTTAGAGCTCAAGAGTATTTGGGGTCAGTTCGACAGGAGGAGGAGCATGGCTTTCTGTTGATGTAATCCAGTCATGATTGGCTGTTACTAAAATCATGCAGTGGAGATGTTTTGTAAAAGCTGTTAGCCACTTCTGCACAGCTGCAGGGGGTGTACCTCTTTATCAGCCTTGCCCACTTTGGCCTCCAGGTCGTATCTCTCCTCATCAATTTTGTCAATGAGAGCTTGCAGTTTTTTGCAGGTCTCCTAGTTGGAAAAGGAGATGTGGAGGTTACTGACTGAAACAAGTCCTAATGAGTGTGTGAGGACACAGACGTGGGTAAAGTTCAACAGTCACGCCAAAAGAGATCAGCTCCTCTAAATCAAGCAAGACCAAGATGCTGACTGAAGATCACATCTCTAACCATGAGGGTAGCCTGGTCTCCACTCAGGTCTGCTGGAGGACAATGCTCAGACATGTAAGCCTCCTTGGCTGCGATGACATCCTTCTTCTCCTGTTCCAGCCAAGTTGCAGCAATCTGAAGAATCAAACTCTGCAGGGAACATGAACAGTGGGATGAATATGTTTTATTATTCAGTGGATTTAGATATAGTTAAAAACACTTGTAGTTTGGGGTGGGAATGACTCCACCAATCCTTTTTCTGTTTCCATTCAGGGTGACGAGAAGCTGGGTATGATGTCCAGCAGTCCTTGGACTGGTGAGGTGATAAATGGAACATGCTAGAGACATTCTTTCTTTAAAATTTTAAAGGGAAACAGACTGAAAAATGGTAAAATGGCCTGTATTTGATATAGCGCCTTCAAGAGTCCTGGAACCCCCCAAGGCGCTTTACAACACAATCAGTCCCATTCACACACACATTCACACACTGGTGGGGATGAGCTACAATGTAGCCACAGCTGCCCTGGGGCGCACTGACAGAGGCGAGGCTGCCGAGCACTGGCGCCACCGCCTCGCCTCTGTCAGTGCGCCCCAGGGCAGCTGTGGCTACATTGTAGCTCATCCCCACCAGTTTGTGAATGGGTGTGTGAATGGGTGAATTACTGATTGTGTTGTAAAGCGCCTTTTGGAGGAGGGGGGGTCCAGGACTCTAGAAGGCGCTATATCAAATACAGGTCATTTTACCATTTACCTTGGCTGTGCTTGGAAATCCTGTCCATAAAAGTTATGATCAGAGTCTGTGACAAACAACAGCCTTGGTGGATTCCAACTCTCACTGGAAATTAGCTCAACTTACTGCCGGCAATGTGGACCAAGCTCTGACACCGGTCATACAGGGACCTAACCACCCATATCAGAGGGCCTGGTGCCCCATACTCCTGGAGTACCCCCACAGGGGCCCCAGAGAGATGCAGTCAAAGAACTTCTCCAAATCCACAAAGTAACTGTAGATTGGTTAGGCAAACTCCCACGCACCCTCCAGAACCCCCCTAAGGGTATAGAGCTGGTCCAGTGTTTCATGGTGAGGACGAACACCACATTGTTCCTCCTGAATCGGAGGTTCGACATTTCGACGGACCTTCGTCTCCAGAACCCCTGAAAAGGGGCTCAGAAGTGTGATCCCTCTGTAGTTAGAACACACCCTGCAGTCTCCCTTTTTAAATAGGGGGACCTCCACCCCAGACTTCCAATCCAGTGGAACTGCCTATGATGTCCACGTGATACTGCACTGGAGTCCCACAGGCCATACAGACTCTTTCTTCAGCTTGACAGCATCCCTAACCGCCGGTGGACACTGAAGTGTTTGAGGGTTGCCACCCCAACAAGCACCAACAACCCTGCAGCCACAGCTCCGGTCATTCGACTCGACAATGGGAACATGGAACATGGCCAACTCAGACTCAGCGTCCCCCACTTTCCTCGGAATGTGTTTGAAATTCTGTCTGAGGTGGGAATTGAAGCTCTTTTTGACAGGAGACTCTGCCAGACGTTCCCAACAGAACCCTCACAATACGTTTAGGCCTGCCAGGTTTGACAGGCTTCTTCACCCATCAGCAAAACCAACTCACCACTAGGTAGTGATCAGTTGACAGCTCCGCCCCTCTCTTCACCTGAGTGTCCAAGAGCACATTAAGACACCTTTGAGCTTGAAAAGGGTGTTTGTTATAGACAAGGACAGAAGTCCAGCAGCAAAACAGAGTATAACTAACAGGAAGTATAACTAATTACTTTTTAAAAGAAACATTCCCAACACTGTCCTGGACTTCAGCACATCTCTACAGAGGCCCACCCCACCCCGGGCACGCTCTTTTCTAGATGAACGCCATTCGTTTTCATTTCACGCTGATGAAATCCAGGTGAGACAAACATGTGATCAGTGTGGACCAACTGTCTCCCTGCTCTGTGATCCTTTACAACACACGATGTTATGATGTTTAGGCCAGTTAGCAGAACCTTATTGGTTACTTATCGGCTTTAGTTGCTTTCAGGGAGTTAAAATCAAAACCTTACGTTCTCCACTATCAACATCAAAACAAGGATTTCTTGTGAGCTCAGGGTAAACCTCTAATGAAAGCTGACATATGTCTCCCTCTCCTTCCTACCATCACTTCTTTCACTCCTAGTCTGCCATTTAAGCACCGCAGTCTTAAAAAACAGCCACTGGATAGCTGTCTGGCCAAAGATTGAATACCAAACAGAATCTGAGTAGTAATTAAAAACGCCCCGGCGTGACCTCCTCCCACACAGAGCAGCTGCAGCTGCTCTCAAACTCAGCAGATGGGTCTCAAAGATGATCTAGGGCGTCACAGTTTCAATATATTCAGACTCAAAAACAAAAGCAGAAACAATTTTCCTTAAAGCAGCAATCCGGAGCTTTCCCTCGCTCAGGAACCGACTGTATAGAAGTCTGTGTAAGTGATAGTCTCACCCTGTACTGTGATTGGATTTAAGCACGATGTCAATTTGTTTGCATGCTCTCCAGAAGCCAGTTAATCACCTGCTGATTGAAATCAGGTGTGTTGAAACAGGGAAAACACAAAAACATGTAGGATAGCGGCCCTGGAGGACCGGAGTTGGACACCTGTGTATTAAAGTATTAAACTACAACATAACTCTGACTTCCTGTGTTACATAAAAAATAACCAGACTTCATTTCGCTGGTCTGAACCATTGGAGCCATCAAATCAGCTGACTTTACCTTCAGGTGATGCCTGCGGCTGGACGTCAACTTTTTCCTGTGAAGAGAAACTGTGCTTAGTGTTTACATGTGTGAAGGTGGAGGCAAAATATCTTCCATAGAACACTTTAGAACGTTGATCAGGGAAAAGTTTGTAGCTATTTCAGTTCTCCTACATTTTCCTGATGTTCTCTTCATCCATCAGAAGTTTCTATTCCTCTCCTTGTTATCATTTTCACTCATTTGCCAAAAATGTTTTTCATGTGATCATGAGTCCCCTCATTTTCTCCTATGCCCTCTGACCTTCAGCATTATTCTAAATGCTTCTTTTACATTCATGGTTTCCTCAGTTTAACTTGTTTGTTTTGTTTTAAAGCTACAGTGGCTAATCTGCAACACAATCTAGCTTTAAATGTTGTTTTCATGCTTCTTGACATACACATTTTAGAAAGAAACAAAAAAAATGTGTATAATGAAGTGGTTCTCTCAAATTTGTCTTAAGACCTCCGCCAATAAAACGTTTCGAACCGAAACCAATGACTGGACCATCCAGTTGTCAGTCTCGCTAATCTGCCGCACTTCCCTGGGTCCTCCAGTCATCGCACACTGACGTATTTAGTAACAGAACAGCACTGGCGTGAGATGTTCTCCAATGAATAATATCAGAGAAGGAGAAACAGCCGGCTGCTACCGCTTCAGCTTTAGGACAAACTACCAGAGTCCCAAAGAGACAATCACCATTTGAAGTAGAGGACAACAAAAGACATTTGGTCCTAAAAAATGGTGAATCTAGTTTCCTCTGGCAATGCTCATTCCCATCGGGGGGGCGTGGCCTGGGATGACATCCGACCGGTGGGGTGAGAGATCTGTGGCTGCGTTTAAAAGCTAGCTTGTTTGCAGATATAGTAAAACTGCTTTGATATTATTTTTTCCTTTTATTTTATTGTTTTTTGTGTTGTTTGTTTCCTGTTTCAAATGAATGAAAACAAAACCAGACCTATGATGCCTTATGTAAGCCAAACAAGGTAACTTTATACATCATGGCACGTTTAGGAATGAACAATTTTTTTCTACATTTCTGGCTCTTTCTGTAACACAATAACAGTATTTGACCTCTGTCACACCCATACTCTTAGGTTTAGGATGTTTTGTGATGTGTGCACATTTAGGACTCTTATTATGAAGGAATCTCTGAGTTCCTTTGAGGAAGTGAAGGTCACACCTTAGACCAGTGGTTTTCAATCCTGGTCCTGGATGGTCCAGCATGTTTTCATTGTTTCTCTGCTCAGCAGCTCATCAGGCTCTGCAGGAGCCAGAGTTCAAACTAAACCATGCTGGGCACCAGCCCTCTTTAACCAATAAAGACTCGCCAGAACCTTCAGCTTCTTTTTGTCCTTTTAGAAATTCTGACTTTTTTCTGGATGTTTTTGAGCTAGAACTTTTTTAAATCAGAAAAACATATTTTAAAAATGTTGATCTTATTTTGAATTATTATTTTGCAATTTTTCAACATTTTGTATTGTTTTCTCCACATTTAAATTTTAACCTTAACCTGAGAAACAAAATGAGGTCTTCTAAGAGGCTCTAGTGCACATTTAAATGTAATCAAAGCTTCTGCATTATTTTGTTGCACTTTGTGCAGTAACACTGTAAACGTTGCTAATAGTTATCATTTAGCTGTAATAGTTTTGGTGACGGTGAAGCCATCAGACCCATGTTAATCTGCCTTAATGCTTTTATTTAAATTTTCATATTTCACACTACACTGTTGGTTTAAAATTAATAAAATCAGGACTTACTCAGACATGTTGACAGTTTGTTTTCCTTACAGCCTGCATGAAAAAACAAACAAAAACAAGATCAACTCTAAATCATTTTCATATTAGAAGAAGTCCTGCTGTGTCCCAATGTGGCCCAGTCAAACATCCCATGAGTAGCTGAGTGGCGACAGGTCTAAATCGGGGGGTTGGGGGTCAAATGTCACCACCGATGCTTGGGCTCAGATAAACTCGTTACAGGTGGTCAGAACCGAGCCGTTTTCCAGAGTTAACACTTCAAGTCCTTTGCCAGAAAAATAAAATAAAATGCAACTCTCCAACAGAAAGTGCTGCTTCAGCAATAGTCAGCACACACACACGCACACACACACACACACACACACACACACACACACACACACACACACACACACACACACACACACTCCTAAACCACACCAGTCTAAACAGCGCGGCCAGACCTAGCATCAGGTTTCAGGACGTTCTAAATCACATCTGAAGCTATTTCAGCTGATCAAAAACATCCCTCATGACTAGAATGAAAATTTCTGCAATGAAAATGCATTTTGGACTTACAAAAATTCTTATAGTTCTGTTTTCTCCTAAATACGAGTGTACAAGATTTCCCTCCTGTTTGTGATTTACAACAAACTCAAATCGTCTCACACTTTGGATTCAAAGTAACTCCTCTGTTTTTGAGGGTTGGTTAGGGTTAGGGGATGCAGGGAACTTGAAAAGTCACAACAATCACAAGAAACGTCCTATTTCTGAACTCCGCCACCTACAGACTTTAGTTTGCAGACAAAATATACAGTTTTCCAAAAAAGCTCAGAGTTACAAAAGCACAAAACACAATCTACTTTGTGCAGCAACCTGCCCTCTCCCTCCTTTTATGAATCACTTTCCTTTCATGGATCTGGGAATAGAAATGCATTTCCTCAAAAACACAACTAGATTCAACAAAGCTGTTTAATATGCGTTCAGCCGCTTTGCAGAAACATGCACAGGAAAGGAGGAGGAAGAAAGGGAAATCAGTCTCACCTACAAAGAAATGGAAAGTCTGTGAGGAGGGCAGCAGTGGCAGTGAGAAAGGAATCAAAGCCAGGGTGTATATATACAAGGGTTCGGATATGGTTATGGAGCTGCTGTTTATGGAAATGCAGGATCCTCAGTCCAATCGGTCATCAAGCTCCTGAAATATCCCCGTCCCCCCAACTTCACCCGGTAGATGAGACATCATCAAGGAGGAGCATGACTTCGTCTCAGGACTCTGCTTATTGCCACTAGCACTATAAAAAGGAAGATGATCATTCACGTTCGCTGTACATCAGATGAAGATGGGGCTGAGCAAAGATGGACACCAAGAGCTTCTCACTCCGTGGGCGGGAATTTCACCCTTAAGAAGGAACATGTCAGTGTTGATACTGAAACTGGCATTCCTAGAAGCCTCCTTGGGTTGAATTGCTGTCGATGGTGATCTTACAGGTCATGAAACCATTTTCAGAGAAAATTCTGCATTGAAGCTAAAGAAGAAGAAGAAACCATTTTTAAAATAGCGTATCTCAATTTTAAAATTCATGAGGCAACTTGTTGAAACCTGAGCACCACTTGTTTCAGAATGATTCAGATGTTGTTGCATTTGCTGCAGAGACTCATAGATTTAGGAGTAGATGAACTCCTACCATCACTGAAACCAACAGAACTCACATCACAGAGACATGCTGCTGACTTCAGACCAGACCATTCACCCTTAAGTACGGTAACTTTTATCAATGTGGAATCTGGTAGAATAGACTTTATTGATCCCATAGTGGGGAAATTCACTTGCAGCACCAACACTTAAGAGAATAATTGGAAGAAGAAGGATAACAAAGGTGCATGTAAGTACACATAGGCAGTAATCTATTGCTGTAACCTTCAACCACTAAAAACCACAAATAAGAAAAAACTTGGGTTCCAGAACGATACAGCATTCTGTAATGGATACAGACATACTATGTAAATCTGGTAGTGCACAGGTGTTGAACACATACTGAGTATTGCATTGGTGTTATTGTGTACAAGGATGTGTACCAGTTAAACCAAGGAGTTATACACTGGTACCAGAGGACCAAAATAAAATTCATCATCTTGTTCTGGCCCAGCTGCTGATTTATTCTAAGCCTGATATTAGATAACAAATTGGCAGATCCATGGATATAAGTTGTCACATTGCTGGATCTAATAAGAATAACTGAATGATAATTAAGTCCAGCAGGCACCGATTCATCTGAAGGACCAAAACCCTGTTTTACTTAAAATACACATCCTGCACATAGAAATAGAAACCATGACTAAGAATATTTGATGCTCACCTGAACTCTGAAGATGGACCAGAACCAGAACCCTGCTCTGTTATCAAACACGACTCACTAAAATAAACAGAAAAGTTCAGGGAAAACTTCCGAAGTGTGATGAACCTGCAGTCTCCAGACTCCTGTGAGCTCAGAAACAGGCTCAGAAGAGAGAAATGACTCCATGATGTCACATTTAACTATTGGTCCAAATCAAGTTTAAACAAGCTTGCATTTCTTCTATCTATAAATATCACTAAGACCCGTTGCTGCTCTGGTTAGCATTTCATCTTGGACTGCTCGTTGGAGACGGCGATCCGTCGAAAGAGATGCATCCAAATCGCTGCCTGGCTGCAGCAGGGCCTGGTGTCCGTGTGAGCTGTTGCACTATGAGGGTGTGATTTCAGTTAGACAGGAAGGTGTTTGTTATCACGAGACTCAATGACTTGATTGAATCTGCAGTTTTACTGACAGGAAACTGAAGGATGCTGGACTTTGTTTTTGACTTCATCTTTGAGGTTTCTTCTCTGAACATGACACATTTGTTGACGGTGTCTCTCCAAAAAAGGACACAAATGTCTCCAAGAGTAACAGCCCAAACTGTTTTAGTTAAACGTTCGTTATCCCTCGTTTGACAGTCACACCGGTCTGATCGGCAACATTATATTAGCTTAAGGGTAAAGATATGTACCCATGTCAGTGGCGCGAGCCTGTGGAAGACAGATGCTCCATTACTCTTCAGACACAGAAACGTTTCAGCAGCTACAAGAATGCAAAGCTCCAAGTTCTTCTCATTCATCAACTTCAAAAGCAAAATCTTAGCCCTTTTCACCCTTTATCTACTGACTGAATTCAGACTAAAACGAGTCAGACATTTCAGTACAGACTGTACATCTTTGAGTAAGGAGCTTTGAAGCTGCAGAGAACTCCACTCTCTCTCTTGCTCGCTCTCTCATTGCCGTTGATGCTGATTAGAGGTTTAATTGTCCTGGTCAAAGACCTATCGGCTCTCTGGACAAAGAATCAGGGGACCAATTAATAAACTAGCTTCATATTGAAGCTTTGACAGTCTAAAAGTTTGGTGCTTTGCTTATTTCTGTTTAAATAATGAAACTAAGGGAAGTCCAGTTGGAGTTTTTTTCTGGACCCAGGGTGATATCAATGCCTTTAATGAGTGAAAACCTTCACCAACATACAGATTTGGGCTTTTCTCTGAGTTTTATTTAACCCGGCTCTGTGTGGGTCCATAACTGGAATAAACAAGCTCAGCGGGGAGAAGCATGCCGTGACAGTAACCCCCGTACCCGCTGGTGGACACCAGAGGTTAGGGGAGCTGTCAAGCTGAAGAAGGAGGCCTACAGGGCATGGCTGGTCCGTGGGTCTCTGGAGGCAGCAGACAAGTACCGGAGGGCCAAGGGGGTCAGTGGCGGTTGCTGAAGCTAAATCTCAGGCTTGGGAGTAGTTTGGCAAGATCATGGAGAAAGACTATCGATCGGCTCCAAAGAGGTTCTGGCAAGCCATGCGACGCCTCAGCGAAGGAAGGCATCAACTTGCTCACACTGTTTATGGTGGGGATGGGGAGCTGTTGAATTAAACTGGGGCTATAGTTAGGCGGTGGAAGGAATACTTTGAGTAGCTCCTCAATCCCACCTACGCGCATTCCGAGGAGGAACCAGAGCCGGGAGACCTGGGGATGGACTGTCCAATCTCTAGGGCAGAAGTCACTGACGTAGTCAAACAACTACGCAGCGGCGGACCCCTGGGGTGGATGAGATCCAACCTGGTTATCTCAAGACTTTGGATGTTGTAGGATTGTCTTGGTTCCAGAGTCCTCTTGGTTTCTGGAACATTGCGTGGTCATCGAGAGCAGTTCCTGTGGAGTGACAGACCGGGGTGGTGGTCCCTATTTTTATAAAGGGGGACCAGAGGGTGTTCCAATTACAGGGGATCAAACTCCTCAGCCTCCTGGGAAAGGTCTACACCAGGGCACGGGAGAGGAGGGTCCGGTCGATAGTTGAATCTCAGATAGAGGAGGAGCGATGTGGTTTTTGTCCTGGCCGTGGAACTGTAGACCAACTCTTTATCTTTGCTAGGTTAATGGAGTTTGCCCAACCAATCCACACGTGTTTTGTGGATTTGGAGAAGGCTTATGACCGTGTCCCCAGAGGCACCTTGTGGGGGAAACTCCAGGAGTATGGGGTGGATGGTCTTTTGCTAACGGCAATTCAGTTCCTGTAAATGAGGAGTGTGAGTTTGGTCCGCATGGCCGACAGTAAGTCGAACCTGTTCCCAGTGAGGGCTGGACTCTGCCAGGGCTGCCCTTTGTCACCGGTCCTGTTCATAACGTTTATTGACAGGATTTCTAGGTGCAGCCGTGGTGTTGAGGGTGTGGAGTTTGGTGGCAGGAGAATCTCATTATGCAGATGAAGGGGTCCTCCTAGCTTCATCTGGTTCTGACCTTCAACTCTTGCTGGGGGGGGGGGTTCTCAGACGAGTGTGAAACGGCTGCTTACAAGATTGTACACACCTGTGATGCTAAATAGTGGACACACATTGAATTAACATATCCCTTTGGTCACATTTTTTTCAGTCTTTTCTAGGGATACCATCATTTTGTCCAGGCTTGGTCCATTAATTTACTTATTAATTTTAATTCCATTGAAGCACGGTTGAAAAGCAAGGTCTGATTATAATTGGTTAGATTTCATCAAATATTTATTTGTTATTGCCTTTGTCAAATTCAAGTTATTTCTGTGACCATTGTGGGTCTTTCTTTCATTGACCGAAAGGTGCCAACAATAAGGATGTAGAGAAGCACACACAAACATAATACGCTTTGGCCTGTATTTGATATTGGATGTAAGCGTCTTTCTCAAATACATAAGCACACAAACCCAAGACTGTTGAACCCAAAAGTACTTTATGAAACTTAGTCTTGGCATCATATGTTTGCATTTGCCATATCAAAGCTGCTCCAACATCATCCATGATGAGAGGTTTCCTCCAAGAAAAATAATTTGAAATGACAACTGGTCCAACCCTTCTTGTCACGTTGCGATGTTGGTAGGACCCAAAATGCAGTACCCAGGATGACACGACGCAGAGATGATGAATAAGAAACATCCTTTATTTTACGGAGAACAAAAATAAGTCCAAAGGTTGGGATCCAAAATCCAAAATCCAGATAACGATCTAGAAATCCAAAACCCTAGAGAACACGAGAAGACCAAAAACCCTAATAATCCAAGACGAGAGACGAGACTGGCAGAATACAAACAATGAACTGACACAAGACAGAGACAAGACAGGGCTTATATACACAGGGAGGAGTAATTAGGGAAAATGGCAGCAGGTGTGTGGAGTGAGGGCTGGAGGGAAGACAGGTGAATCTAATAATCTGACTGGGAAAACAGAAACAGAGGAGGGCAAATACCTAAACACAAAACTAAACAACAAAATCTAAAGACAGAGGGAAGGGCTCACACAAACTAGCTGGAGGAGGACATAATACACACACACACACACACACACACACACACACACACACATACACCAAGTTGGGGAGGACACGCACACACACACACTTACACTGAGTTGGGGAGGACACGCACACACACACGCACACATACACTGAGTTGGGGAGGACACGCACACACACACACACACACACACACACACACACACACACACACACACACACACACACACACGCACACGCACACGCACACACACACACACACACACATACACTGAGCTAGGGACAAAGAGGCTGGAGCTGACCTGGGAGGAATGATTAAAAGGGTAACAACATTAAGGCACATAATTGAGACGCAGACAAAGGACACATGAGGGCGCTAAGAGACACAGAAGGGAATCTAGAGAGGATGCCCGTCTATGTCTTTTCCCTGGCCTCTCG